CCTGCTCGGCGGGAAGCCTGCTTCTCCCTCTCCCACTCCCCCTGCTTGTGTTCCCTCTCTCGCTGTGTCTCTCTGTCAAATAAATAAAATCTTTAAAAAAAAAGAAAGAGTGTAGCACAGGAGTAGACAGATCAGTGGAACATAATAGCCCAGCCATTCGCCTCTGGAAAAATTCAAGTCATCTGTATATGACAAAGGTGGCATTTCAAGTGAGAAAGAGAGATTTATTAATAATAATATTCTTATTCTCTTGAGGTATCACATGGAGATCGGCTGTTGGGGAAGGAGTGGGAGAAGGTCCTCGAACGCCAGCTAGGCTGAGGGTGCACCTCGTCAGGGCTGGGGTCAGATCGGTCCTCCTCTCTGTTGTGTGTCCCCCAGGTGTCGCCATGGTGACGCTGGTGGAGGACAGCAAGGTGCGGGTGGTGGTGCGGGTCCGGCCCCCCACCCTGCGGGAGTTGGAGAGTCAGCGGCGGCCTGTGGTTCAGGTGGTGGATGAGCGGGTGCTGGTGTTTGACCCTGAGGAGCCCGACAGGGGCTTCCTTGGCCTGAAGTGTGGCAGCACCCGTGATGGCCCCAAGAAGAAGGGCAGAGACTTGATGTTTGTCTTTGACCGGATCTTTGGTGAGGGGGCCACTCAACAGGATGTGTTCCAGCACACCACCCACAGCGTTCTGGACAGCTTCCTCCAGGGCTACAACTGCTCAGGTGAGAGCCGGGGCAGGGAGGAGGCAAAGCCCCGGCTGGGAGCGGCCTTGCCTCCCTGCTTCCCTCTGAGGGCTTCATCCGTCACGTCACTGTGCCCTCCTTCCCCTCAGCTGGGCACTTGCTGACGAGGGTGCTGGCCCTTTCGTCCTCCCGTGTGTGACACACCCTCCTGGGCTCTAAGTAGGGGATCACACAGATGTGGTTCCTGTCCTCTTGCTGCTTGTATTCTAGAGGGGGGAGAAGATTACTAATCACAAATCACCCCCACAAATGTGTGACTGTAAACTGAGGTCAGTGATATGAGGGACAGAACGGCAAGCCTTCATCAGAGGAAGCTGCCTAGCCTGGAGAAGGCTCCCCCGGGGGAGGGAGAAGCTCCCACTGGCCCACGGAATCCACAGGTCCACGGGGAGCCAGGCCATAGGCACGGGGAACTGCAAAGCTGCAGTGTGAACGCGGCAGGATGCGCGTGGGTAGGAGCCCTGGAACTGTGCACAGGAAGGCAAAGGAAGGGGCTTGGGGAGAAGGGGGCCTGGGCTGGGTGGCACAGGGGGACCCCTAGGGAAGGTGGATCCGGCCCTGCCGCCACCCTCCCCCGACTCTGTCCTCCACAGTATTTGCCTATGGGGCCACGGGGGCTGGGAAGACACACACCATGCTGGGAAGAGAGGGCGACCCTGGCATCATGTACCTGACGACCATGGAACTCTACAGGCGGCTTGAGGCCCATCAGGAGGAGAGGCGGTTTGAGGTGCTCATCAGCTACCAGGAGGTAGGGCTGTTCCCTCCCAGACGTGGGCAGCCCCACTTCTCATTCTCAGCCCCGCTGAAGGTGGGGGGAGGAGACTGAGAGTGGAGAGAGGGTGGAGGAAGTAGGCAGACGGGCCCGCTGAGAGCCCAGGGGCACAGATGAGGCTCTGAGAGAGGCTGCGTTGGGACTAAGCCTGCCTGTCCCGCTCTCACTGCGTGCCATTGTCCTGCAGAGGGCCACTCCTGGCACAGCGTCCTGCCATGCTTCCCTGTCTGCCCCTCAGCCCCTCACCCGGCCTCTGGGGAGAGGTTTCCTGAAGGGCCTTCTCTCAGGCTTCTCCCTTGCCTCCTTTCTCCTCAGGTGTACAATGAGCAGATCCACGACCTCCTGGAGCCCAAGGGGCCCCTTGCCATCCGGGAGGACCCCGACAAGGGTGTGGTGGTGCAAGGACTCTCCTTCCACCAGGTGAGAGATTGGGCCCGGGTGGCAGGAGCAGCGTTGGTTCCCCAGGGTTCTCTCACCAGGCAGTTTGGGGGTGCCCTGAATCCAGGGGTGGTTCTGAAGAGCAGCTCTTCCGGTTGGGGGAAAAGCCCTGGCTTTTCGGGGGAGACCACAGCACCCTGCCCGGGCATCTCCTCTGCAGCCCACCTCAGCTGAGCAGCTGCTGGAGCTGCTGACCAGGGGGAACCGCAACCGCACACAGCACCCGACCGACGCCAATGCAACTTCGTCCCGCTCGCACGCCATCTTCCAGGTGAGAGCAGTGGCAGCTCAGAGCCTGAAGCTGGGGCTCCTGATGCCCAGCACCCCCTCACCCCTGCCGTCTGCCCCCCAGATCTTCGTGAAGCAGCAGGACCGGGTTCCAGGCCTGACTCAGGCCCTTCGAGTGGCCAAGATGAGCCTGATTGACCTGGCCGGTTCAGAGCGGGCCTCCAGCACTCATGCAAAGGGGGAGCGGCTGCGGGAGGGTGCCAACATCAACCGTTCCCTGCTGGCCCTCATCAATGTCCTCAACGCCCTGGCCGACGCGAAGGTAAAACTGCACAGACCCAGGGGCCTGCCCAGGACAGCAACTGAGTGCCCGAAGCCTGGGGTCCTTCCCTCCGGCCCTGGGCCAACGGCTGCCGGGTCTCAGCCTGGATCTGTCTGGTCCAGCCACCTCCCCCCATGCCCTCTCGCTGTCGCCCCAGGGCCGCAAGTCTCACGTGCCCTACCGGGACAGCAAGCTGACCCGTCTGCTCAAGGACTCCATCGGGGGCAACTGCCACACGGTCATGATCGCTACCGTCAGCCCCTCCAGTCTGACCTATGAGGACACCTACAACACCCTCAAGTATGCCAACCGCGCCAAGGAGATCAAGCTCGCGGTGTGTGCCGGCCAGAAGTGGCCAACCTGGTGCGGGGGGGCAGGAGGAGGAAGGGGCAGGACCCACACAGCTTCCTCCAATACCTGGAGCAAGCATTCCCCCAAGGCAGAGGGAAGAAGTTCCCTAGCCTCCGTCTTCAGGGAAATTCTTTGTGATAGAAGCGACGCAGTCCCCATCCTTGGGAAGACTCCAACTTGGGGGGTAGAGGCCGGGCAGTCTCCAGACTTGACAAAAAGAGTAAGATATCATTAGCAGTGGGCTGCCCGGGGCAGAATTGTCTCAAGAGGGTGACAACAGAAGGGGGTGGCCAAGTGCTGGCCGGTGAGTTGCCCTGGCCTAGGGAGGGTGTATTGGTCAGGGAGTCAGGGGTCTTGGGTTCAAAAGCATCCTTCTGCCTCTTGCTGTGGTGTCAGGCAAGCCACTCACTGCCCTTCCCCAGTCTGTTCCCCCTCGGGAGGGTGAGTCTAGGGAATGTGAGGGAAGCACCTCGCACAGTGCCTGGCCATTGGAAGTGGTTGCCAAAAGCTGCTGCGAATGAACACACGAAACTCTCCCCTGTGCCGCCATCTCAGCTTAAGAGCAACGTGATCAGCCTGGACTGTCACATCAGTCAGTATGCCACCATCTGTCAGCAGCTGCAGGCTGAGGTGAGGAGCCCGCCTGGAGAGCTTGATCGGGAGGCAGGGCGCCCGGCTCAGGTACAGGAGAGCCAGAGACGAGCCGTGGGGCACAGCCAGGTCTCTGCGCCCACCTGGGGCTCTGAGGGGCTGCGTTGCTTTGATTGCAGGTGGCCGCCCTGAGGGAGAAGCTCCAAGTATATGAGGCGAGAGCCGGGACCCCATCGCAGGGCCTCCCGAAATCCCCCAAATCGGGCCCTTCCCAGCAACTGTGAGTCCTGCAGCCATGCTTGCCCCTTCAGCTCAGCAGGGAAAGCCCCCCTTCTCCAGCTCTGTGCTGCCACCCGGGGTCCGGGGTTCCCAGCCCGTATCCAGCACACTGATTGTCACTCTCGGTGACACTCTAGGTGACAAGACACTGATTGTCACCGCTAGTGCTCTCTCATGTGACACAGTGCATTCTAGACAGTAACATCAAAATAGAAAAGAATCCTCCATGTCAGATGAGTACGTGACACCCCCAGCCCATATAAGCAGCATATACTACTTAAAAGAAGGTGTAGTTAAGGGGGAGGCATCATTGTTTCCTAAACCAGGAAATCACCAACTCCTCCCACCCTCTGCTACTGCCCCCTTGTTACCCAAGCTGGGCCCTATACCACCTGGTGCCACAGAGACCCTGCCCCTCCCTGCTTTCCCACCTCCCAACACCCCCTCCTGTCCCCTCCTAGGCTTCCCAGCTGCCCCTCACCATCCCGCCTGCCCAGCCAGCCCTGCACCCTGGAGCTCCGCCCAGGGTCTGCCGTCCTTCAAGAGGAGAGCCTGGGGCTAGAGACCCAGGTCAGGAGGGCTGTGGAAGGGAACTCTCCAGACCAGGAGCTGCCCCAAGAAGACAAGGACAAAGGCCCAGTGGAGGAGGAGGTAGGACTTGGAGGTGGTAGAATGTTGGAAGCAATGGCCCTCCCCAACCCATAGAGTCCCTTCAGTTCTGGGTTCCCTACCTGGATGTCTTGCATCTTAGCCATTAGGGGGCTTTCAGATCCTGTACAGGAAGGGGAACTCCTCTGTGTCTGCAGTGAGGGGCAAACCTGTTACCAGAAGGAGAGCGGGGAGGAGGGTGGGGCCTGGGAAAGAGATTCTCAACTAGGACCCAGTCAGTCCAAGAGCCATTCTTCCCACTCTTGGAGGAGGAAAAGATTTTAAGATCTGCTTATGTAGGGGAGGGTGGTCATCCTGGGCCCTCTACCTGTGACTTCCTTCCTCCTTAGGTTCCAATCCAGGTACCAGAGCAGACCCTCAGACACTCACTGCCAAGGTCCCCTGGTCTGAGCCTGCAGCCCAAGCCAGATGTGGGCTGCCTCTCACCACAGAACTTGGACAGGGACCATTCTAAGCAGTAGGTGTCTTCTTCTCTGGGGTTCAAGGTGGGAGGTGATGGGTTCCATCCTGCTGGGGGAGGAGCCGGTGTTAAGTACATCGCAAAAGCTCTGGTTCTGCCCTAGTTAAGAGCTGCATCTTTTTTTCCTCAACACTGTCCCTTATCTGCTTTCAACGAACTGGAGATTATCACCTACTCTGTCTACTTACTGTCCTTTCTATTCTTCTACATAACTGGCAAGCAAAACACCAAATTCCATCCCAAATTTGGCTGGCAAGCCCCAAGTTAACACGGGGCTGCCCAGGCTAGCACTTTGCTTCCCGGTCTGGGGGCTGAGCTGCCTGTCCTCTGCAGGGAGGAACCAAGCAGCCAAGAGAAGTTGTGTGGCAGGCTGAGGAAGGGACCGCCCTCCCGAGCCAGGTGTTTATCATGTGTCTTCACCAACAGATTATGGCCATTTCTTCTCAGAAGTAAATACAGACCACCACCCAAAGCCAAAGAGAAACGGATTCTGGATCCTTCTTTCTGTGCTTAATAGAGAGGTGCTGCTAGTATGTTTTTCCTTGGCCCCTAGAACATAAATCCCCTGCCACTTAGCTTTGCTGCTGCCGGGCCCACTCTTGCCTCCCCAGCACGCTTCATGCTAGGCAGTATATTTAAAGCTTCTGGACAGAAGGGCCTGTTTAATTTTATTTCTTGTTGGGGAGTGTCTGTTCCCGACTCAGCAAAAATGTTGCAGCCTGAATAATCAGCAGCTCATTATCTGTCTCCTGCTGCTGACTCCCCAGGGCCCTGGAGTGGCAGGGATGCACTGGCGGGATGTCCCCTTGGCCCCAGGGCTCCCACCGATGAGTCAGGGTCTCTGGCCCTGGTGTCCCCCCTCCCCATTGTGAGGACAGAGGACACCAGGGTTCTCGTTCCCGCTTTGCCTCTGGTTTTGTGGTCCCTGACAAGGTGCTTCGGTCTTAGCTATGATTTGGGGATTATAGTCTCCATTCTCCCTACTTCTTAGGAGAGCTAATAATAGACACTAATAAAATGTGACAGAAGACCCCATGTATCAGGGGCTGCAGAACATGCTAGATCATCTCCATACTTGGAGACACCCTAACAACCAGATAATGGAAAATCATTTCTCTTTGGCTTTAGACTTTAGAATCTTTAGACCACTGGGGCACTGAGTGGATCTTAGATTTTCCAGTTCGGTGGATTTTTCAGAATTTTTTTAGCTACAAAGTCCTTTCTTCAAATGGAATCTTATGCTGAAGTTTAATATGTAGAACAGATAAAGCAGAGCAACTCCATTTTCAATGTCCTCTGTTGGGTTTCTTGAAATCTAATTTGGAAACCCCTGGTATAGACCTGCTCCCCGTTCGCCAGATCGGGTCCTGAGGCATTCGCCCAGGGCCACACGGCCAGAGGGACAGGGCGAGGCCTGGGTCACCCAACATCCAGGCCAGTGCCTTTCTCCCTAAGACACCTACTTCTCTCAGTGGTCTAATCTTCTTATAATGTGTGGCTCAGGCAGACGTCGAATGAGTTTCTGCTATGTCCTTTTTAATTTATATCCTGCCTTCTTTCAGAAAGGCCTGGAGGCTGCTTCATAAAATGAGTTTGGATTCCCTGAGCACACACTGAAGGCAGAGGAGGGGGCTCAGGGATGTCCAGGCAGGTAGCGCTACCTGAGGATAAATTATTGGCCATGAATAATCCCCACCGAGATAATTGTGTTCATTCTTTTATCATAGGTGTGCCTCACAGGAAGGAAATTTGCTTTATTAGAATCTAAATTTATACCATCAATAATCGCATTACCCTCATAATTCCCTTTAAATAGCCCCTCGGTGCATGTGAAGTGTGCATTGATTCACACGGGCTCTTTCGGGATCCCAACCGCTAAGTAGGGAGTGCAGACCGCGTGCGATTTTGAGGGGCCTCTCAGAACCAGGACCAACACAGCCTTTCTCATTCCATCTCCTCTTGCCCTCACAAGGTCGATGTTTTCATTCTACAGAAAATAATTAATCTTACAGTGCTTCTTATGTGTCAGGTACTCATTAAATACTGTATATATCATAATTCATTTCATCTTCCCACAACCCTAAGACGTGGGTGCATTGGTTTTCCCCGTTTTAAGGATGTGGAGACTGAGGTTAAGGAGTGCTTCCAAGATCACGCAGCGGGAAGTGTCGGAGGCTGGATTTGAGCCGGCAGGCTGACTTGAGCCTAGCTCTTCCCTGCTGCTGCCTTACGTTGCCCCTTGGGTCAATGAACTTACTCAAGATCACAGGGCCAGTGAGAGGCAGGGCTGAGAGGAGACGCAGACGTTCTGGTCTGAGGCCATTTAGTGCCCTTTCTCTACTTCCCAGGTCCCTGTCTTTGTTGGGGGGCATATTTAGGGACGAAGCCCCCCCCCACCTTACTTGTGGCCGTCTCTGCGAGCCTCGGGCTTCAGCAGGGGCCTGGCAGAGCAGGAAGCGCAGTTGGGAGGGTGGAGTGAGGCACAGCAGGAGGGAGCCGGGAGGCCTGCCCTCGCGTGCTCCTCACCACACCTGGAGCAATGGGGCTGGGTCTGAGGAGGGCCGGGGTCCCCTTCACTCTCCTCCAGGTTGGCCCTGAAGGTGCTGTGCCTGGCACGGCGACAGTACTCCCTGCTCCAAGCGGCCAACCTGCTGAGCCCCGACATGGTCGCAGAGTTTGAGACCCTGCAGCAGCTGGTGCAAGAGGGAAAAGCTGAACCGGGAGCAAAGGCCTCAGGCGCACCTGGCCCGGCCAGGGAGGCACCTCTGGAGCCGTGTTCCGAGTCAGGTGAGTCTCGCCCCTGCTCTTTCTCTAGGAGTGCCCTCTCGAAGGCCCAGCTGGCGCCCAGGGGCGGCTGGCGACCTCCGATGCTGGGTTGTGCTGGGGTACACAGGGCTGGCAGCCCACCTGTGGAGTTAGGGTCTCCCGCGTGGCTCCAGGGTCTCTCTCCCCAAATTCTCCAGATGTGCCTTCCTTCTGGCCAGTCCCTGATCTCCCTCAGCACCCGCCTTCTCTGTGCCCCAGATTCTCCAGGCTATTCTGGCCCCGTGACCCGGACCATGGCAAGGCAACTGAGCGGCCTCATGCACACCCTGGGGGTCCTACCGGGGCCCGACCGTACCCCAGCCCGGGCATCCCGGCGGCCCACAGAGAAGAAGAGGAGGAGGAGACCAAGCCCGTCGGAGCCTGACAGCCCCCCAGCCCCGAAGCCGGGGACCAAGCGCCAGCGCCAGTCCTTCCTGCCCTGCCTGAGGAGGGGGTCCCTGCCTGAGGCTCAGCCCCCACTTGGGCCCACGCCCCCCAAAGGGGGAAAGGCCCCCTCCTCGTTCTGCCACTCCCCTCGCGTCTGCCCAGCCACAGTCATCAAAAGCCGGGTGCCCCTGGGCCCCTCTGCTGTGCAGAACTGCTCCACCCCTCTGGCCCTGCCTGCTCGGGACCTCAACGCCACTTTTGATCTCTCAGAGGAGGCCCCCTCGAAGCTGAGTTTCCATGAATGTGTTGGCTGGGAGAATGCCCCCCAGGAGCTGAACAGGCTGGATCAGCCCTTCATCCCCAGGTGGGTGTCCCAGCCTCCCTCCCAGCCCTTCAGGCAGGGCCTCCCTGGGGTCAGCGAGGGACAGAGGTGTGCTGCCAAGAGGAATGGAAGCCGGCCTGACTCTCGGAGCTATGTTTGCTGTCTCCCTCCCTTCGGCCTGACCGGTGTCAGTCCCCAGGCCCAGGAGGGCTGCCCCTCTCAGGGGCCCTGCCTTGTCTGTCCATCTTCAAAGCCGCCAGCTCTGGGTGGTTTGTGGCATGCCCACGAGTGGCTAACGGGACCCACCCCACCTCGGGGAGGGTCGGCAGGAGCAGGAATAAGGAGCGGGCCTAGTCTTCTCTATTCCTCTGCACACTCACACCCTCTGGCCCAGTCTTAGTTTCACGTCCCGCTGAGAAATGCATATTTCTGCCATTTCCACCCCAGATTTTACCCTCCAGTCCAGCATCTGGAACTGGGAAGGGGATCCTCAGAAAACTTTATTCAGCACTTTTTGGTGAGAAGATGAAGCTCTCACCTTCGCCTTCCACCCACCTGCCAGGGTAGGGGAACAGTGACCAGCTCAGGACAGTCCAAGGCGAAGAACAAACAGCAGACTGACCTTGTACTTGTGAGGCTGCCCACCGCACCCCCTGCCCCTCCTACGGCCTAAACCACCTCTCGGTAACAAGCTCACAGCTAGGCAGGTGGAAGGGTCAAATTGTTTGAACTCCAGTTCCCTGAACGTTTCAGAAACTGACATCTGGATGTTCTCCCAGAACAGGCCTGTCACTCAGCTGTCAGCCCAGGCCAAGTGAGGCAGGGAGAGGAATCCACCTCTAAGTAGGAAAAAACCTCAGAGGTCATCTGGTCCAACCTCCCCGCCCGCCAAGCTGGGGGCTGGAGGGAGGAGGTGCCCTTTTCTGGTTCCCTCCTGATCTGCCTCCCTTCACCTTCCTCCCTCCCGCAGTGGACCTGAGCCCCTGTTCACCATGAAAGGCCCCAAACCAACATCTTCCTTCCCTGGGACCTCAGCCCGCAAGAAGAGGCGAGCTGCCAGGTGAGGCTGGGGTGGTAGACCGGGAGAGACAGAATTTTCACCAGCGCAGCGGGCACTGAGCTAGCTACAGGCCTCGGCTTGTGTCTCTGGACCCCTGGGAACCGGTAGCAGGGGTCTCATGGGCAGGGCCAGCAACGGGTTCCCTGACTGAAGGAGGTTCCTTTGGCCCTTGCTAGTACAGGATTATACCAGAGGGAACAGTATCTCCCTTCTTCATTGAAAGGCTACAGGCTCCCTCTCCTTCAGGGGGACATTCGGTGTTCACTGGTTAAACTGGGGGACAGACCACTCACCCCTCACCTCTACTTCCCTCCCACACCGCACTAAGCTCTCTCCCTGCTGCTTCTCCTGCCCTCAGATACGGCCTTGGTGCTTAGCCTCGCCCTGCTCTCAAGGCTTAGTGTCCAGCTGCACCCCCTACCCCTACCTGTACCCCCAGGCACGGCTCTGACCTTCCTACCTTCCGTCCTTCCTTCCCTCCCTCAGTTCCTCAGTCTCCCGCTCACTGGGAGTGGCCCGAGGCCGCAGCCGCATCGCGCGCCTCCCCAGCAGCACCTTGAAGAGACCGGCTGGGCCCCTCGCGATCCCAGGTGACTGGCACCGGGGACGGGGATGGTCGGGCCCCTGGTGGCAGATGAAGACAGGAAGTAGGAGGGGACAGGGTGGGCCAAGACCCAGGTGAAAGGAGGGCCTGGGGTATTTCCCAGCATCGCAGGGACCCTGATGAGAGGGGTGGGGGAGGGGTGGGGGAGGGGAGCAGCGGGACCGAGCCTCACTGTCTTCCTGCCTGCCCCAGCCAACTGGCCTGCAGAGCCCCCTTCCAGTCCCCGCTGCCCCGGCAACCAGCAGGAACTGAGGGGGATTGGGAGAGCCCTGTCATCTGGGAGCTGTGTCGCCAAGGCGTCCTGACCCACCGGCCCCTCATGGTCCCCAGAACTGCCTGCACCAGGAGCCCTGACCTGCCTTGCTCCGCTCGGAGCAGCTAATGCCAACGCCCTCTTCCTTTATTAACATTCGTCGCCAGCCGTTCATCCTGATACCTGCCCTCTTTATCAATCTCTTGTTATACTCAGCTTCTCAGCATGTATATATTCATCTCGAGTGGTAACATTTTAAAGGTGCAACCATTGGGGCGCCTGGGTGGCTCAGTCGTTAAGTGTCCGCCTTCAGCTCAGGTCGTGATCCTGGGGTCCTGGGATCGAGCCCCGCGTGGGGCTCTCCGCTCAGCAGAGAACCTGCTTCTCCCTCTCCCTCTGCCTGCCACTCCCCCTGCTTGTGCTCTCTCCCTCTGTGTCCAATAAATAAATAAAATCTTTTTAAAAATAAATAAAAGAAAAAAAATAAAGGTGCAGCCACCATACCCCTCCCCCCAGTTCACAACACTCTCCATGAAAACAGGTGGCTCTGGGGGTCTTTGCTCCCCACCTCCCATCTGACAGAGGGCTCTGTGCACTCATGGCCTCTGTGCAGTAGGGAAGGGATGGGGATGTGGCAGGGGCTCCCAGCTCGACTCTCCCTGGTTGATGAGAGAGGGAGGCACCTTCAGCCCCAGGCCACCATCCTGGTGATGATACAGATGATAGTAGTGTCTTGATTTCCAAATGAAGACAGCTTTATTGTTTCTGCCCTATTGTGAACAGGATGCATACTCTGTGTAAAAAGAAGTATAAAGAAGAAAGGGACATTCAGCTTTAAGGCTCCCACCTGGATGTGAGCGTGGTTAATACTCGGGTTTCTATTCTCTGACCCTTTATTTCTGCATATATACATATATATGTACATGTAGATATATATTTTTTTATTATAATGATTAATAAACCATCTCCAACCTCAGTGTATGTGTCTTTCTGTGTACCTACGCGGGATAGCAACACCTCCCCACTCTTTCAGACTTCAAGAAACTTCTGAGTATAGAAAACGTCCCCCACTGCCTCCTCCCAGGGCCTTAGGCTGGGGCCTAAGGGGTGAGCCCTGCTCTTTACTCTGCGGCCCCATCTTCCCCTAAGGGCCTCTGTTCCTGAGCGGGTGAAGAAGCCATCACACTGACAGGCCTGCTCCATCCTTCTGCGGCCTTGGGCGTAAGTTGCTGTCAGAGACAGTGTCGAGGGGCCCTGGGTCTCAGGTGAGGCCCTAGGCTAAGCCCTGACCACTGGAACCTTGCGTAGTCTTCCTCCCCACAGCTCTGGAAGCCCCACTCCCACCCTGGTTCAGTTCGTGGCTTTCCTCTGCACCCGTTCGGATTGTGAGGGTTCAACCCAAGTTTACCTCTGTCTCTCTAGGAAGATGCAGCTGGCTGAATGAATCAGTAGTGTCAACAGGATGATAGGAGTCTGTGTTTAACTTGCTTCAGAAAACAAACATTTTAAAGGTATTTAGCAGTGTGTGTAAGTGTGTGTAAGCAGTGTGTAAATAACGCTGCTAATTTCAAATGAGTCCTCGCTGTGCTGGGGGAGCAGCTTCCCCCTCTACCTGGTGAGCCCTGCCCCATCCAGTTTTGCCCCCTTTTTGGAGGAGGAGAGAGAAGAACACACGAGAGGAGCCCTGGGTCCCTCCGTGCTGCAGGCAGCGCACAAAACTTCGCGACCTTACAAGGTATAACGAGGAGAGAGACTTGAGAAGGTTCACGGAACACATCCAGGGTTAGACAGCAGGTGGCGGCGCCAGGATTCAGACCAGGGTCTGGTTCTTCACGTGACACCGAGCTGCTTCCCTTTAGAAGCGAACAGGCATCCTTTCTTTCCGCGTGCCTGGGGTTCCCGCCTCTCCAATTAGTCTTAATGAGTTTTTTTTTCCCCGGTGCGCCGTGATTCCCACAGAACCTGCTACAGCCTCCCATCTGTAGCCCCCAGCGGCCTGGCGTGGTGCCTTGACCTTCGGAGGCCTCGCCGAGCGCTGGTCGGATTCAAATTGAATAACTTGCCCATTTCCTGGGGCGCTCACATACATTATCTCATTTGATGGTCACCATCACCCCTGCAAGCAGCGAGGCAGCAGGCACAGGGCAAGGCGGCTGGTAACGAGGGCCAAAAGGGCAAGCCTTGCGCAACGGGGTCCGTTGCACGAGGCAGAATTCGCCTAGGCTGGGGGCAGCTTGCCAGTGGCAGGGGTCGCTCTTGACAAGGCTGTTCTGCAACCGGCCATTGGCTCAGCAAACATCTGTGGCTCCGTGGTGCAAAATGTGCTCTCGGGTGACCCATTAAATGTACAAAGACTCTGCCAATGGAGTTAAGGACGTGTGGCTCCTGCCCTCAATCACAGGAGGTCGGGCTGCGAGTGCTCGCTGCATGGTGTCCTGCAGGCCGGCAGGCAGCCTGGCTGTCCCCAGCTTCACAGCGAGCTGGCAGGGGCTGAGGGGGCCGCGAGCTGACAGCCAGCTCCCGGCTGACCTCTGTGGGCAGCGACGAGGCTCTGAGATTGGATTGTTCTTACATAAAGAGAGTCATCCCCCACCCACTGCAGGCCCAGCCTGATCTAAGGCCCCTCTTCCTGCTTCATCCGGCCTCTCCTACCTTGGGGGGGTCTGCGCAGAGCCCCTCACTCCACGTCTGGGAGTTCAGAAGTACTCTCTTCCCAGGCTCTTTGCGCTCACCTCCTTGCCCACCTCTGGCCCGAAGCTTGTGTCTGGACCCCACCCTGGAGTCCAAAGTCCTGCCCAGTTCAGAGAACCAGACTCAGTGCCAGGAGCTGCAGACACAGAGAACAAGACACTGTCCCTTCATGTGGGGAGTCGGGACAGAGGCTGTCCCTGTCACCTGAGGGTAAGCCCAAACCTCCTTTGGTGTTGGGACCTGTCAAGGGCAAGGGGACTGGGCTCTCCCTTCTGGGTCCTCCCACCCTCAGCCATCAGCTCTGTCTCCCCTCCCCCCGGGGGACTCTGTCACCACATGGGGTGCCCCTTGGCAGCTGCTAACTCAGGAGTCCTCCCTCTCACACCCCTGCTCGTCTATCTCCAGGTTTTCCCAGGAATGTCCCTCTGGCTCTTAGCTAAGTTTGAGGGATCCTGGTTCCCAGATAAAATCTAGTTCGTGGTTGTCTTCCCCTCCTCCATGGTTCTTAAATCTTTTTTTTTTTTTTTTAGATTATTTATTTATTTATTTATTTGACAGAGAGAGAGAGACACAGCGAGAGCAGGAACACAAGCAGGGGGAGCGGGAGAGGGAGGAGCAGGCTTCCCGCGGAGCAGGGAGCCCGATGTGGAACTCGAACCCAGGACCCTGGGATCATGACCTGAGCCGAAGGCAGATGCTTAACGACTGAGCCACCCATGCACCCTCCCCTCCTCCATGGTTCTTTTGTGAAGAGGGATCTCAGAGGGCTTGGGATGGAGTCTGTGGGGGGAGAAAGGGACCAGAGCCACCCCATGGGGCCTGGAGACCATGGCTGTGGTTTCCAGCTCTCCAGAAACGTTCCCCCCAGCTCGCCCGCAGCATTTCCACCCCTGTTCCCTGGCTCATCCTGTCCATTTGGAGGACCACTGGATTGGAAATAACAGGCTGCCCGCCAGCCCTCTCCTCCCACCAGGGACACATCTGGCCCCCCCCCACCCCACCCTCCCAGAGGGATGCAGTCAGGCAGGGAGAAGGAGGGGAGCAGAGAACAGAACAGATCAGGGAAAGCAATTAAAAAGCAGGTCTCAGGGTTAGAGGCTGGAAAGTAGGGGGCAGGCTGGAGCGCCCAGGAGGGCGGGGAGAGGGGGGTTGGAGAGAAAGGGCCTGTGCTTATTAACCCCAGTGAAGCAGCCTGGCCCCTGGGTGGGTGAAGGTAGGAGAAGGCCAGGAAGGAGGAAGGGGAAAGAGTCTGGGGATTCATCTAGGAACCCTTCCACAGCCACAGGAGCTGGGCTCTTCTCACCAGGGGCTGCCTCGGCACCAGCTGACAGATGAGAGGAGAGGGAACCGGCCCTGGCCTGAGGCAGCCCTCCTCCAGGCTGAGACGGGGAGAGAGCCCCTGCCCTCAAGGGGCTCCCATCTGACAGTGAACCATGGGTGCTCGCATCAGGGAGCTCCCACAGAAGAGAGGGTGTCCTGAGGGACCCTGTCCTTAGGGAGACTCCATTCTGATGGGAGGACATAGGTCGTAACATCAGGAAGTCCCTCTCCATGGGGGCCCTTCTCCTGGGGAAGCCTCAGGCTGAGGGGCAGGAGGGACCCCCTCCCACGGGACATGATAACACACCAAGAGCTTCTCAAACCTATGGAGCTTTGGGCCTCAAGTCTGCCGCTGGGGAAGGGCAAGGATGGAGGGACAGAGCCCCAGGGGGAGTCAGGGAGGTGAGAAAGCAGGCTGGGAAACAGGCTCTACTCTGAGTCTCCTCCGGGGCAGGTAGAGATGACTCACGCGTGGTCCCTGGCAGACCCAGCTAGTGGTCTGGGGGCAAACGGTGCCACCTCCCACCCTCTCTCCCGGGGCTGCTGCCCCCTGCGTCCTGTCCACACTCCCAGGTAACTGTCCTGGGGAGGTTCCTATACGCTGTCCCCTGCCCGCCCCCAGCGGGGTCAACAAGACACGG